ACAGTTGCCCATACGCGCTTACTTGTTCACCACTATTTCACAAAAAAAAAGTGTTTTTAAGAAAATGTTGCGATGAGTACCTACAAGTGAGTGTTTTGTAAAAAAGTGAGTGAATGAGACTTATGTTTGGATTTGTTGTTTTAGGATTTAGAATATAAAGGTATGTAATATTATATTATGTAAGTCTCATTTTCAAAAAACTACAAAGTGCTCTTATTAATTTTGTTTAAAAAACATAAGTGTAAAAAATATTTGAGTTTTTTTATTCTATTTACGTAAGTATATGGGTGTTTCAGTCTCCTATTCTCATACAATCAATTCTCTTTTCATTCATGTTATAATACTTTTAATACAAGGAAAAAATACTTTTAACACGACAGATAAGTTCATAGCAAAATGCGTAGTGTAAAATTACTACTACTGCTACTACAGATCTATAAATAAATTAAGAGACAATATATCGTATAGTGTAATACTGATCTCCTATATAATATAGTTCGTGAGATATGGAAGATAAAGTCTAAATTGTATTATACCATTATTTTTATTCCAGTCTATGTGAGTACATAAGCACTCAGAGTTTGAAGGGATAACAGGAACAATCTTGTTAGCCAAACATTCCAGAATGATACACATGTACTATTTGTATGTGTATAAACATCGGAAAAAACAAATCATATCATTTGCATATATTATTTTCGTACTACGTATTAGTGGTTATACTTATATTATTTATTCATTCTTTTAATGTGGAAAATATATGAAAATTCCATCATGAATCACTGTTTTGTATCTGAGATGTAAACACAAACAGATGTTTACGGTTTTTTATGGACAACTGGAATATGAGGCGTTACAAGTCCATTACAGGCCATTTGGGGGTTAGGAATTTGAGGATTGTTGGAGATTCGGAGATTGGGGAGGAGGTAGTTGGGCCTCCGATAACCTCACTCACACGACGAAACACAACGCACGCATAGTTTCACGTCGGTTTTCTGTGAGGCCGTGGTATCACTCCGGTCGAGCCGGCCCACACTTAACTACTAAGTACTTATTACTTAAGCATTATTATTTTATTTATCTTATTATTTTAATGTTTTGTAGCCAGACTTGTGTCAATATTAATGGTAAATGTCCGCGTCGATACCAATTTTCTTAACGATTCGTAATAGGTACTACAAACGTGATTAGAGTAACTACACTTTTCCTTGTATTCAATTCAAAGGATTTTTCTATTTTTCCTTAAAGATAAATAGTACGTAAAAAAAACTAATTGTGTAGTAATTCCTAGAACTAATTATTAATTCATTTTTATTCAGTGTAGAGACCGAAAATTGCTTTTACTTATGTAATTTAAGCTATTAAAAAACTAAGGACATTATTTTTTTTAATTGTTTTTGTTACGTGACATGCAAATGGTGGGCTAGCTAGGTTAAGAAAGTACTAGTTAAAACTAGGCGAACAGATTTGTTTTCGTACAAAAAAAATTCTACATCCTACTATTTTCTTATTAAAAACTACCAAATAACTAAGCAATAGTCCTTCCTAATTGTAGTCTGAAACATAAAATCTCTTCATCAACCTATAAATGCCCACTGCTGACCAATGGCCCCTTCTCACAAGGAGAAGGTTTGAGCATTAATCTCCACGCTTGCTCAATGCGGGTTGGCGATTTTAAACTTATAATTAGAAATTTTAAGTCCAGAGTTCCTCAACATGTTTTCCTTCACCGTTTGTCAATGGTCTAAATAAGCTTAGAAAGTACATATAACTGGGAAAAAATCATATTAGTGCCTGCTATTGGTAGATTTCGAGCCCGCACTCTCACGAAGCGAGCGTCTTAGACCTCTGAGCCACCATAAAACCCGTATGTAATATGCACGTAATATGTACGTAGTATGCGCTAATAAACAAGTATTTTATATGTTTTTATAATAACTACCGTGAGACATACTAAATTAACTAAAAATCGGGATTCGCGCTGCTCATGAGGAAGAACCCCTCTGTGGTTCGAAACTAGTAGAGCTTTTCTCAGTATATTCACGTGAGTAACACGCGATTGTTAGTTAAGTATTTTGTAATTCACGTGACATAATTACATCGCATAACTAAGTTTTAAGCTAAACAAGCAATTGACTTTCTCTTAAGCACATACACAATAGCTAAAGTGTCACCGTGAACTATTTATGGGTTCATTGGCCTGACAGTAGATAAGGTCACCTTTGTGTACGAGGTCTTATTATATAACAGGCAGTTTTCCCAAGAGTTTGCGTGATATTCTTCGATTATCCTCTTTTCATTTTTGTTACATAGGTTGTTGAGACCTTACGAATAAACAGAAGTAGACCTAAGTCTGATTTATTTATATTCATTCACCGTTCGGATTGGGCATGTCCGCCAACACCGCGCAGTATGTTGCACCTGTATTATTGGCTGGTTTTAGTTTTAGTTTTATAATTTACCTGTTATCTTCTTATTTTTCTGTTTTTATACTTCTTTATATTTATATGTCTTTTCTGGCGTGCATGTCTTATGCCGAATAATACGTTTATTTAGACCGAAAGTATTTCATTTAATTTCATTTCAGTTTAATTATGTAATTTGTTCCAATTATGTCAAATGAGGTAAGTGTCAATGTGACTACTACCGAGTTATTTCTACTTTTTAAGATTATTTAGACACAACTGACAAACGATGAAGAAAAATATCGTGAGGAAACCTGGCCTTATTATTTCTAATATTATAAGTTTTAAATCGCCAACGATTTAAGTGATAAGTCTTTTTGATAGGCCTTTGGTCAGCAGTGGTCACTTACAGACTGTTAATGTGTATCAAATCTATAAGCGTAGAAAAGTCTATAAACGTCAGATACAATTCAAGACACCATTACGATAACAGAACTTAACAACTATATCCACCACTACACAAGAGTCATCCTATGTCAATACATTACATAGACACCAGGAACTTTGCATGACCCAAAGAAGTATTTGAGCAATTACATAATTAACTTATACAATTAGGTACTGCCCACGCAAATAAATGCATGTTTCGCCCAAATAATCTAATGAACTGTGTCAACAGATAAAATGGTGTTACGAAATGGACTGGTTCATAGAAATTGGATATAAGTATAAGAAAGTTCAACAATCAAAAACTTTCTCATAGACCAATAACGATAAACCAGTTTATCTTGGAATATCCCAATGTCACATATTTTAGGGATATTACCATAAACTATTAACCTATTTTATTACATAACTGTGAAACTGGTTTCATACTAAGGTAGATAGACTGCACGGAATTTGGAAATGTGCCCGGTATATGGCAATAGGCTCACCCCCTATTACGTGGGACTTATAACATAAAATAGTGAATAGTGGGTGTTACACTGTACTGTGCCATTAAGTGCCGTAATATGCATCTCTGCCTACCCCTTCGAAGATAAAAGGCGTGATGTTATGTTGTTTGATTCTAAAGTGATAGACTGCAGTAGTAGCACGGAGTTTGGAACTGTGCCCGGTATATGGCAATAGGCTCACCCCCTATTACATGGGACATAGAACATAAAATAGTGAATAGTGGGTGTTACACTGTACAGTGGCATAGAGTGCCGTAATGTGCACCTCAGCCAACTCCTTCGGAGATAAAAGGCGTCTTGTTACGTTATGTCATGATATACTGCAATTACGCCATTTTCGTTCATAGTAACGTGTTGCGAAATTACTGCCTAGTTATTTGCTGACTGAGAGCGTACCTAAATTATATTTTAGAAATCTCGTAGTTGTTTTATTTGTCTTACCTTACATAACGTGTTAACTCAGGAACAAACAGATTAAACTGGTGCTTCCTATGACTCAGTATACGTGTCCACATTAATAGTATATTTTAGTATGTTTCTAACAGTGACCTTGGTTGCCAATACAGGAGTAAACTCCATTGACTCGTTTATACACCGTGAAACAACATGCTATAAAGAGTACTTGCGATGTATAAAGTAATAAAAACAAAAAATAAAGATGTATGTGTTTCAGTTTAAAAAAAAATCTTGGAGTCATTTCTCGTCGGATGACACTATTTGTATCGCAAGTGCCACCCTGCGAGAAATATGTACGTCATAGAACACAGACATATTAAAACAGTATATCGCTATCTTCTAAAATTACATTTTATTTCTTTGTAAAAGTATTGTATTATCTAGACAGAACCAATTTACTTCGGTACGAATACAAAATTGATATTTTCACGGTGTATTATCTACTTCTTGTTTCAAATTAGTGATTTTTATATGTTCTGTGGGGAAAATCATCGAATGAATGCTCCCGCCTGATTGAGGCAGGGGGGGGAGTGTCAGACTCTTACTGACTAAAAACCACCCCGATCCGACTCCTGCACTTCGAGCCGGAGCCTCGGTAACCCATTAGGTTCTCCGCGGCTCCGTATCGGCATCAACCCTATTGGTTATTATATATTATCCGTGGTGGTCTGATAGCTGTTTGAGGCGCGCGCGGAACGCGACGCACCGTACGCTCGGGCCAAATTAGTGATAAGTTAACGTTTGATACAACACTTTGTTAGAACACAAAGTTATCTTTAAACATTATGCAATGTTTAACTCTGTGGGTTCACAATCATTTTACGTCGAAACGACTTTCCCTATTTGTCATTCAAATATTTTCCATTGTTTAGGTAATAAATTATTTATACTTGTGACTTTTATATAGGTAAATACCATTAAACTTTCAACAGTTACGTTGTAAAAGTGTTGGTAGGTACTTGTTTCTTAAATACTTAGATATTTCTGATTATATCACGGTGTTAAATTGGAACTAATTTGACTTTTCACGCTGTGCCTAATCGTGGTCGCAAATTGTACCTGCAAAAAATATCAGAATATGATAAGAATTAAACAAAACCAAAAATTAGAATACATAACTATCCACATAAGTTCCTCAATTTTTTTATGGAGTAAGTCGGTAAACGAGTTGGCGTATCACCTGATGGTAAGCATCGGCGCCGCCCAAGGACACTCGAAACAGCAGAGTTTTTACAAGTGCGTTACCTGCCTTTTGGGGATTAGAATTTTGAGGATTGGGGGATTAGGGAGATTAGGGCGGGGCCGTAATTGCGCAATACTGACATTTACCTTTCTTTCTTTCCAGAAAGATGCGGCCCAGGATATTTATAACAGCTTTAACAATTACGTTACTATTCACATACTGCGATGCATACCAACATTGGTTTCGAAGAAAATCCAGCATGGAAACTGAACAAAGAAGTATGGCGTCTGCAGTGATGGACTATTTAGACATGGTATATCCAAAAGATGACTATGAATCCAGAATGTTGAAGTGGGTATTTTCCATACTCACAGACAATGAAAGTTTTCTTGGTGGACTGATGGAACTTATGATGTAATTTAGACCTAATATCTACACTTCTACAGACGTCATAATGTCGAATGAATGCAACATACAAATGGCGCTAAGAGGATTTGTATGACGAGCGGCTAACGCGACGGTGCCGCTCCGTAGATACCCTTTTGTTTGTTACTACACAAATGCAAGCGTTCGCCCAACAAGCATCAATTGACGAAACATGTGTTGCAGTTTACGTTGTACGTAGACAACACGCCTAATAATCCCAAGTGCCCCAAAAATGCAATAAGTAGTCATGTCGAAACATATGCAAAAACTTATTGCCTTTTTTCTGATTGTGATAATTATTTATTGTACTGTTCAGGAAGAACATAATTCTACTACAGCTGTTTCAATTAATGTAGGTTTACTACAAACAATACCCGTTGAACTTAATTTATTGTTTATTTATTTAACTGTTCACAAAAACATGTATGTTAATGCCATTCAAACTGCTTATATAAAATGAATAATGTATTTCACGGGAAGTTCACAGTTCTTGTCGAAACGAATTTTCATATAAAGTAATGTCGTGAGCAACAGCTAGTGTTTTAATAGGTATTTTAGTAATAGTACAAATATTGTAATAATAATCAATTATTACTACCAATTTCAATAACCTATATGAAACCAATCAGTTTAGTTCAGTATATCTGTGGCTAAGCGTAAAGCAAAGCGATTTTTGACATCAGTTGTATGGAGTTTCTATCAAAATATGTTATGTGTTATGTTATAATAATGATAAATAAAAAAGCTATTTTTAACATTTATTGCCCAATATAGAATTTGCTCATATCAAATAGCAATAAATTAACTTTTGACAACTACAAGTTATTGTACATACAAATAACACCTTCAGTTACTTAGCGACATCTGGTGACTACAAAACGATAGTCATCATTGTAAAGTCATAATTTGTTTTTTAATGTATACGTCACTAGATGTGTGTCGTTTTATACCAGTATTTTAATTTTAAATTGTTTTATGTACTTTTAAGTTATTTAATGTAATTTATTAAAGTTGTATATAATAATAGATGTTAATTCTACTAGCACTTTCATTTTCTACCTTATTTTTTACGTGCCCTTAGGTGCAAATATGTATAATGCAATGACAAGTCAATGACTCATAAGAATACAAGAATACAATACGGAATGAACTGATAGACCAGCATACTTGAACTATATATTTAAGACATTATTTAGGCACCTAGAATAGAATACAACAATTTAAAACATAATGTAGAATATTAATGAAGTTATGCACTATATTCAACTTCAGTTACTTTTGGTATCTACTATAATTTCTTTGTTTTTTTTAACACAAAATGTGTGAGAGCCATGCTTCGGCACGAATGGGCCGGCTCGACCGGAGTGATACCACGGCCTCCCAGAAAACCGACGTGAAGCAACGCTTGCGTTGTGTTTCGTCGTTTGAGTGAGGTTACCGGAGGCCCAATTACCCTCCTCTTCCCCAACCTCCCCAATACTTGAATCCCCAACGATCCTCAAACTCCTGATCCCCAAAAAGCCGGTAACGCACTTGTAACGCCTCTGGTGTTCCAGGTGTTCATGGGCGACGCCGGTTGCTTACCATCAGGTGATCCGTCTGCTTGTTTACCGGCTTATGCCATAAAAAAAGCAATATGGATCTAGACAAAGAGTTAAAACTTACAGGAATAGAATCTGCGATACGTTACACAATAACCGGTACCAGTGTACCCAACCATTGGGCCACATGTGCATAATTTTGAAACTAGAAGTAATCGACTAACAAGCAAGAGAATCAATATGAAATATTATTCTATATTCGATACAAACTTGATTCAAACACCTAGCAACTATATTTGAGCAAACCTAAGATACGTGATTTTAAACAATTATTAGCAGGCGTTAAGAGTTTAATGCTGTGATAAAAACAACAGGAGCTTTTCTATGTTCCATGATAAGTAATATATTTAATGTTAAGTTATCATAATTTTAAGGAAACTATGAAAGACGTTGTTAAGAATTTATGTATGTATTATATATGTATTATATTTTTATTTTCTTTCGCGTTTCATCCAAAGCTGGTGATATCGGATTGTGTAGTGGTTGACTCTCATACCCGCACTCAACTCTTCCTTTTCTGATCCTGCATCCACCAGGCAGTGACACGGTTGTGTCGTCGACAAGACTCTCAGGTGTACCCACATTCTTATTATATCCACACAGAACTCTATCACCGACCGTTTTACAAAGAGTGCTGTCAAAATCGTACGTTCGTCGAGTAATTTGTAGTACTCGCCGTGCTCTCATATCGGCGAACCTCCGAGATTCAATATGTTTGTTGTGTTGTATTGCAACATTAACATTTTTGAACATATTTTTGCAGTTTCCGAGAACCATACTGGTTGTGATTGCAATTATCTGGAAGTATGAAAATCAATTACCTATTTAGAATAGATGTTATAATATTATGTAACATATCTATTATAGTATCGCTTTTACATAAATAATGTTGTTTTTTTTATGTCATAAGCCGGTAAACGACTAGACGGATCACCTGATGGTAAGCAATCGGCGTCGACCATGGACACCTGGAACAGCAGAGGCGTCACAGGTGCGTCACCGGCTATTTGGGGATTGGGAGTTTGAGGATCGTTGGAGATTCAGGATTTGGGGAAATTGGGGAATGGGAGGGTAATTGGGCTTCCAGTAAAGTCACTCACACGACGAAACACAACGCAAGCGTTGCTTCTCGTCAGTTTTCTGTGAGGCCATGGTATTACTTCGGTCGAGCCCAGTCGAGCCGAAGCATGGCTCTCCCACACTTTATTGTTAAGTTTACTTGTTAATATAGTCAGGCATGTTAGGTAACCTATTTAATAATTTTAAAGACTTAAAGCAATACAAAATATAGCTTTGATACTAACCTATTTTCTGTAGGCATTTGATAGAGTTTATATTGTCCAATAATATTACGTATATTTTTCTCCAATATTTAATCTGTCTTGGATTTGTCTTAAATGAGACCTATTAATAATGAGACTACATGAGGCAATCCACAATGAGACCATAAGCCTTCATAAGAAGGCTTAGCTAATCTCCTGTTTGATAGTTTCATATATTGGAAATATAAATATATTAATTTAAAATCATTCATACATTAATTTAAATTTATTCGGGTCGCGCATTCACACTCGTTATGGTATGTTATACATAATTGAACTCAACGAAAGATTGTAACCAAAAATTGTTTTGTGAACCTGATTGAAAAAGAGTAACCTATGGAGTTTCTTGATCGTTCTTCTCTATAGGAATCTACACTTTGGAACGACCAAATAGCTTCACTAGAGGAATGGCCTACAGACTGTCATTTTTTCTCATTATTTAATATTTACATATTTGTGAAAGAAAGACTGTCTCGTTGGCCGAGTAGTCGCAAGTGCGACTGCCGTGCAAGGGGTCGCGAGTTCGATTCCCGGGTCGGGCAAAGAATTATTGGGTTTTAAAAATCTCAGTAGTAGCAGCAGTAGTCTGAAAATGTGCCCGGTATATAGCTCACCCTCTATTACATGGAACTCATAACATAGTGAAAAGTGGGTGTTACATTGTACAGTGGCATTAAGTGCCGAAATGTGCACCTCTACCTACCCCTTCGGGGATAAAAAGGCGTGATGTTATGTTATGTTAAATATTTTGTTTTGACGTTCAAAAATGCCTTCCATTTCTAATTGAAATAAATGATTTTGACTTTGAGTTTCACTATAAAAATGCTTATGGAAGATTGGGTCGAAATATGTTGCATCGATAATTTTATGACTAACTACATGAATACAGACACCTATTCTCTATAATTATGGTAACTCGTGAACATTAGGTTTCAAATCAGTAGGGTAATAAATTAGCCTTTTCGGAGAGGAACCCTATATCTAGTCAGCTCTTATATTCTAGCATTATTTAGACACTAAAATGTGACAAATAAAAACGCGTTTCATATTATATGAATTCGAAGTATCTATATTTATTAGTGTAATTCGGTGAACAAAAATAAATAAACAACATTTTATAATAACTTTCAAATTCAATATTATTCCTTAAAATTGCTTACAAATAATACGGTCGTCAATTTCTACACATCTAGGAACTGCGGCCGGATACTGCGGAGTAGTACCACTATTGGATTCACCAGGAATTTGGTTACGGCCGTAGTCGCTAGGAGGATGTTCATTATCCCGCGCGGGAGGCCTCCTAATACCGTTATAAGGTGATTGATCATACCCACACTCCAATCGTGCCCCACGTATCCTACAGTTTTCAGTCACTCTGAACACTTCAAGATTACTCTGTGGCATTCCTATGTTTTTATTATATCCACATAGTACCCTGTCATCCAACACCTTGCAAATATTGCGGTCAAAATCATAAGGACAGCACCTCTGATTATGCGGAATTTTTGGATGTTTCCGATTTTTTCGAATCCTATTGTTATTAAGATAGTTTGGATCGTCTGGGTCGTCACTTTCAGAGTTTGAGTCTTGATGTAGTGGGGTCGGGTGGCCCTGACGCCTGAATGCAACACCATCCCAATCCATCGACAGCAGTTTATTGCGTGGCCTATTTCTCAGGTTTGCTTGCTGTTGAATGCAATTACCGCAGAACGGCGCGGCATCAACAGATGTCGCAGCGGCAAATATCTGTAATTGCGCGAATATCCACAAATTCGTAAATAAAATGTATGTCCCGGAATCATATTTTTTTATGTCAGTGACCAAAATAACCAAAGTGTGTTCAACTTTCATTTTTATTAAAATAATCAGTGATCAGTGGCCGAAGATTAGATTTGGTACATTAATATACCAACAATATTTGGAACATCTATAATATAATAAGTCGTGTGTAAAATTAGTAAAGTAGGTACTATTATTAGTATTAGAGTTATAAATAGTGAGGACACGGTGGAGCATACGGTAGCGGTGTGCCTTGCGTGTGTTGAGCACCACCGTGTCCTCAAGAATGTCTTCGGCGACGGCGACCTCTCGCGTCTGGCTCTAGTTCAGACAATGGTACGGAGCGAGGGGGACTGGATTGCCGTCTCCTCCTTCTGCGAAGCAGTCATGCTAGTTAAGGAGGAGGTGGGGCGCGTGAGGGAACGAACCTCCTCACGCCCCAGCCGTCGCGAGAGACACTGGGCGTCGGGGATCGCGAGACGATCTCCGGCTACCGTAAGCACGGGCCTGCGGCGAGCACGGGTGACTCGCCGCCCGATCAGAACCAGACCCGAGCGTACGGCGCGGTGCGTTCCGCGTGCGCCTCAAAGATCCATCAGACCACCACAGATGTTGCCCAATAAGGCTTATGCCGATATGGAGCCGCGGAGGACTTAACGGGTTGCCTGGGCTCCGGCTCGAAGTGCAGGAGTAGGAACGGGGTGGTTTTCACTCAGTAATAGTCTGACACTCCCTCCCGCCTCACCCGGGCGAGAGAAGTCATTGGATGATTATACCCCTTCAAAAAAAAAGTGATAAATAGTAGTTAAACTATTTACAACAAGAGCGGCTAAATCGATATGGCTGCAAATTGGTGGGGAGATAGTTTAGAACCACGTGTCGGACATAGGATTTTTGCACTTTTTTATGTAATGATTTCCCAAAAATCCTACGGGAACGGGCAAAAACGGGATTGCACGATGTTTATTATCAATTTTGGTAGCGAGAACTATGTATTTATGCACATTTAGATAACAGTAAAATCAATCAAAAATAAAGAAAACGTTAAAACTAACCATGATTAAAATGAGCGGGTTGCCACAAAGTCTAAACATGTTAAGATAAGAAAATGTTAAATGCATGTGTGCATTTCAATTACTGGTGCGGTTTTATAAAAGTACTGACATCAGGAAAATATTTGATTTTCAAGTAGACATTTATCCCAAATATAATAATTATAAATTCGGAAGTAAAATGGTTTGCTTGTTCCTTACCTCTTTACGCTTTCTTCTTACGTAACTTCTTTAAATTCTTGGTAGTACGGAGTAAGTAAGACATAGCCAAATTATATTTCAAAGGAATTTGGCAAGAAAACCTTACCTTGAATCCGGTCTGGGTTAAATAGAACCTATAAAAAAAGGGAAGGCTGATGTCCTGCTAGGTGGACCAGAGATTTCAAAAGAGACGCTAGGGAACGTACCCAATAAGCCTGTGATTGTCAACAGAAAACTGTTGAAAGGAGATCCTCCGCTAAGTGAGGCGGTTAACGTGTTAAAGAAGAGCATTGTTTGCAAAAGGTAACTTGTCGTTCGGCATGGAGAAATAGGATCGAGGCCTATTTAGTTGTGGAAGTCTTCTATCTTATATTACACTCGCCAACTTCGTTTCCTATTTTTAAAAGGATACAACTAAAATATTTTCGTTACTAAACATTCATTTGCAGTATTTAGTCACTCGTACTAGTATGAAATAAGAAATATAAATTGCAACCATAACTTTATTTAAAAAGCCATAATATTATGGTAAGCAATTGACTCCAAAGCAAGATTTTTGATGTCAGTCTTCATACATTTCGAGACCTGTCTTCTCTCTTTGCTTTCCATTTTTCTTTTTGCCTTCATCTCGTATCATTGTCATTGTATGACGACTGCTGAAATTTTGTTTACGCATTTGTGTTAATTGAGGATGATTATAACTTGTAATCATTTTTCCTTTTACTTTTTCTTTTCCAAATTAGCCATACTTATTTGTCCATGATAATTCACATTTCTCAAATTTAAAAAGTCATTCACCTTGGCCGATATATATTTCAAAACACTAAGACGGAATTCTAAATTTTTTTTATGAACTATGCTTGTAATTTCTTTTCATTTCTTCGAGAGATTTTTTAATACTGTTAGCTTTTACACGGTTTCGTCTTTGCATTGAATTACTTGTTTCGCCCTTTAGTTTACGTGAATTTGGTAACTGTTGACGTTTAGATTTATTTACAAATATAACATCTACTGGTACTTCATTAGTTTTACACTTTTTTCTCGATAATGTACAAGAGTGACGCTTGGTACGAGTGGGCAATGAAATATTTTCATCTGTTGGTAATGGAATCTCATCATAATGGTTTTTGTTCAGTGTGAAGTACCACGATGTGGTAGTATCAAGGTAGGGAAAATTCATGGTAACCTGTAAACAAAAATGTTAAATAGTTTTATTACATGAGATATGAGTTTATAATTATTGCCGTTGAAAGATTATACCTGTGTTACTTACATAAGAATGTTAATCTGTATTCATTTATATATTATTCTATTTGCCAGACCCTTTCCCCCTCAAATGAAAAAATCTCTTTTTAGATGTGTCTAACGACAATCTACTTTGTCCAAAAATGTTAGACAATCTTTTCTTTTTAACCTGACTGTCTTCGTATTCTTTTATTAAGGTATTAAGCTGTTCTTTCGTCAGTTTCTTTGGATCAAGTAAAGCTGCAGCTATATCCATCTGAGAACCCTTTCCTTTATACAGTTCTTTGACTATATTATCTAATTTAGACACTTGAGCTTCAGGCATAGCAAATCTCTTTTTCAATTCATCAGCATTCTTTTGTATTTCTTCTAAATCTTTTTTTCTTATTTCTTCGTCATAATCTTTTATCATTTGATCCAATATAACTTTGTCGAGCACCTTTGGAGTTGATGAAGTTGGTTTGGGTTTATGAGATCCACTTGGTGCTGAGAATCTCCCACTTTTATAATCTGCTACCAACATTTCGAGTATGTTAGCTTTTGGGCCAGTCACCATGTAACGTTTCTTCAAATCATTTACTTCCATGCCCTCAAGAAGTTCAATATCCTTGATAGTAAGTTTATGTTTGTGATTTTTACTTTTAAATAATGAAGTTAAAGAATTTCTCATATACAATAATTTTTCATTTCCTGTGTGCTGTGTGCTTTGTGGCTGCGGCCGCGGCGTAGGTGTAATTTCTTTGGGTTTCTTCTTAAAAATTCCTTTCATCCATCCATTAAATGTAGTTAAGCTACTTCTTTTTGATCGTTGCGGTTGTTGCTGTGGCTGTTGCTGTGGCTGCTGTTGTTGTGGTTGTTGTTGATGATGATGATGATGGTGTTGATCTTCTTCTTCTTCGTTGATTACCCCCTGGTTGCCTGACGAAGTAGAATCTGATCGAATAAGAAGAATAGGTATATAATTGCATTTCAATTTCACACAGCACAATGTTATTAATATGCGTAACAATCAGAAATTACAGAAAAACTACGGCGAGTATAAACACTAGTGTTATTATAATCCAAGAAGAATTGACAATCATAATAATTGCGACTATAGCAATGGGCATTTAGGAATGTAACAACCTACTTTTAAATTATTAAAACCGCATTATTTACCTTTTCTGCGATGCTTGCGCATTTCATTTTATTTACGTTTGAAATGTTATTAAAATATCCTATCTCTTGAAATCATCACGATTGTATTCTCATTACTATTATTGATTTCAATTTCAAGATTATGATAACATAATCATGTTGAACCTGTTAAAACATGTAAAGTTTTTCCAAAATATTTAAAGTACTCGTATTAACATTTAACACATTTTTCCTTCAGCTTTCACATTTTTATTTTGGAAACATAAACAACTGTCAAATCCAACAGATTATGCAAGATTCACATAAAGGAAACATAAAGAGGAACTATATCGTTGTAGAAGAGACAAGAGTAATAAGGCACGAGAAATGAATTATATCGAATAAGTATAATGAAAATTTTATTTAAATAACCAGAGTATAGTATGCTTAAGTAATTTATTCTCGATGCCCAGTGCGTCCACATCTATGAGACTCAGGTCTAATTTGTCTAGGTCTATATCTTCTAATCTTATATTATTATCAGCAAGGAACTTAGTCCAATGTTTGTTTCGTTTGATGGAATTCTTCGCCCAGTGCCATAGTTGTTTTCTGAGTCTATATTTTATTGTCTTTGTATATTTGTTCTTAGTACTCGTGTTACTACTGAAACTTTCGGTACTAGTTTGTGTTGTTCTTGGGAAACTCTTCTTCTTTAAATCTTTGTTGTCATTATTACATCTCTTCGCTATAGATAAAATGTAATTTTTCGTATCAGAATTTGGGTCTTGATTTTCATAGTTGGATTTCCTATTAAGTTTTTCAAAATCTGAAATAAATAATAATCCGTTATTTTGTAATTTATGATTACATGACGTTGCATATATTATTAAAGATTTACTGAACTTTTATTTTTATCTAAGTAATGTTTTCGCTTATTGATGGTTGTTTCGACACTTTTACTATGTACTTTAGTTTGGTCTACTGCACTGCTTCTCTGTTTGCCTATTGGTTTCTTTGGTTTGTCTTGGTCTCTTTTTGGTGTAATTTTCATATGTTCTTGTGTGTATACGTTATTGGGATGGCTAATGTGTTTCTTATGACTCCTTTTGGGCTTTTTATCTTTCTTCGAAACACTAGACTTTCCTATTTCTTCCTTCTGGATATTGTACATCTTATTTAGAACTATCCCATGCTGGATAGTTGTGGTATTCTCGTTTTTGATATGCTTTGTTTGTTTGTTTTTTTGTTTTTCTTGGTTTAGTTTTATGGCAGGCACCGACTTCTGTCTTCTTTTTTTAGGTGTCTGTAAATAAAATATAATTTTGCATTGAATTGCAAGCAGAGAGGTCCAGTATAACTTTCATTTTGGAAAACTGTACGATTTCCGCGGGATGGTCTTATATGTTTAGGCTTATCAGTTTACTAGTAAAATACATGCTTCAGAGATGAAATCTAAAGAGCGAACAAAGTGTTTCATGAATGCGAACAACTTACTATAACTATGTCAGACGCACTTTTGATTACGTTCCGTTTTGCGGCCCTGATATTTGCTCTGATCATGGTGCTTTGAGCAGACAAGATTATTTCAGTATTTGAATATGATTATTTTCTTTATTTGTTGACTATTTTCATTTCATTATTTTCTATTTTCTTATACTGTTTATTATGTTCGCGTACCATACTGGATTATACATATATCTGTTAATATTACATTTGTATTTTATGCTATTGTGATATTGTCGTGTTAAATGTTAAATTGATCTTCTTGACCGAAATTCTGGCACATGCTTGGCTTAAATTGTTTCGTTCAGAAGCTGTTGATAAATCCAATGAGTTTGACGTGATTTTGGTTTTTAGTTTATGACAGTATCTACCTACACTGTAGAAATATAATCACAATGCTTCTAATTTTTTTCTATTTGGTTTTATTTTTTATGTAATAATCAGTTACATAAACGAGCAGACGGATCACTTGATGATAAGCAATTGGCACCGCCCATGGACACCCGAAACACCAGAGGTATTACAAGTGCGTGCCGGCCTTGTGGGGATATGGGGATTGGGGAGATTGCGAAAGGGGGTAATCAGGCCTCCGGCAACCTCACACGGAAACACAACGGAAGTGTTGTTTCACGTCGGTTTTCTGTGAGCCCGTGGTATCACTCCAGTTAAGCCAGCCCATTTGTGCCGAAGCTCTTCACCACTTGAAATAAACCATAAACCATGGTCTCCATAAACCCGGAACCATGCACTCAATAGGCGTATGACCTCAAAATCTATACGACATGTTTGATTCTATTCCATGACATCTAATATCTAATGAACGTAGTTAAGGGAAATCCCATAGTGCAGACTTAGAAACATTAAAAACTACTTAGGTTACCTATTTACTCTATTCATCGACAGGTATGAGTAATATCAAAAGCAATATTTATGTAATAAACGACTATTGTTTAATTTACAAAATAGTTTGCAACTCAAGTAAACGGAGAATCCACAGAATATATGTGTTAAATTTTAAATCAGTTGGATCTCTTTGGTTTAAGAAAGAAAGTGTGACAGCGTAATTGACAATCTACAAATAAAAAAAATTACCATTGTCATCTCGGAACTTGGCATACCTCCATAAAGGTGTACATAGGTCAAAGAGTATAATAAGTATAGCATAGGTACATAAAAGGCGTCCAATCGCACTTAATTTCGTCTATTTACATTCTTTGTTAATTTTATAGTATTAAACATTTTATGAAAGCATAATTATAAATACTATTAAAATTATAATATGTAATGTAATGTTCATAAATGTCATCGTAATCTCAGCGATAGGAGCTAACATTTTTTTGCACACCAGCAGCTGTAGCCAAATGCCATTTAGCGCTTGTCTATATGTAGAATAGAAAACCAAATTATATGGAATTGACGTAAATTTTGACACTTGTCAGTGTCATTCCCATACATTTAGTTTTCTACTCTCTCCGTAGACAAGCGCTAAAGTGGCGTTTGGCCAAGGGCACAGGTGGCGCAAATCTAGAATGGGTTTTTTTGTCCAATCACGGCAGCTGTCAAATATTGAACAGCCAATGTTGTGGCACCAGCTAATTCTCTATTGGATGAAGGAGGAGAGGGTCACACTAGCCATCTGGTGAGCAAAAATAACGTAGGCTCCATTGCCAATTCTTTTTTTTAAAACAAATTTGAATTGCCACATTAGAATTTACTTATAGAACAAACACATATCGTTGGGGATCCGCGAATCTATCGTATACATAAAGACCCTGTATCTGCAATAAACCAAGTTTACAGGGGAAAATTAAAACTTAATAACTTTATAAAAATTCATTGAAATTTGAGACTTTTGGACTCATTTTACATATTAAAAACGAGTCCAAATGAAAATTGATTTAACTACATTTGTCAGATACCCGGAATTATATTCATATTCATTTATTTGCATACCGAAAAGTTAATGAGGTGTTACAATATGCTTAAAGCTAAGTTACATTTATGGACCCCGTAAGGGCACAGCAAGAATTGATAAAATGAAGTTAACATTTTTAAAAATAAAGTTGACATTTTATCATCAAATATCTAATATCAAAATGTAACCTACAATCGAATTTAAATTAATGATTATAAGTCAAAATGAAATAGTAACAATCAACACAGGTTATGTATTGTAAAAGTCACAATCATAAATAAAATAATAAAGGTCATAAAAAAATTAAAATCAAAATAAAATATGTAAATAAAATTATTGTTAAGTCAAATAATTAAAATGAGCAAAGTCAAACAAATAATATAATTTTACGGATTTCCGCTCACCCAACGATATGCAAATAAAGAATATAACAAATTGAACAGAAAAGTCAGAGAACACCTAAATAACGAAGGGACGAACCACAAGTTTAAAATAAAAGTTACCTTCAAAGTGTATCTGTATACCGTACATAAGAAAATGTGAATATAAAATTGTAAAATTATGAACGTAAAGTTAAATTAATCAAATCTAAACGTCGAGCCGATTCCTAAGTTTATGGATAAAAATATACAATGTCAATAACGTTACTGGTAAGACGATTATGTTCTTGTATAAATAAAGTAGGATACGTACTTTATACATAGTTAATCAATTACATTAGTAATCAGTTTCAGTAATTTATTACTAACCACTAATTATACGGATAAAAGAAATAAGTTTTTAATATAGTGGATATATATCCTATCACATGTTTCAGGTAGTTTAAAAATAATTATAGAACTTTAAATTTAATCAATATAACAATAAAACATGTTTTGTCTTTTGATTCTTAGACTGTTATGTGGATGATTCCTATGTAACATGTTCAATTAATAATTGTAATACTTAGCCCATGTCACGGAGAACCTAACGGGTAACCGGGGCTCCGGCTCAACGTGCAGGAGAAGGAACGGGGTGGTTTTTAGTCAGTAAGAGTCTGACATTCCCTTCCGCCTCACCCAGGCGGGAGCAGTAATTCGATGATTTTCCCGCTTTAAAAAAAATACTTAGCCCATTGATATAGAGTAAGACGTCGATGACCTACCCTACACATTTTAATTTGGTCTGAAATTAATATCAAGTTCAAACATTTTACTAACGTGTTCGATACAAAAATTGCACAAATATTAACTAACATTTAAATTTCAGATATGTTTGCTCGTACCTAAAGGTATATTCGCAATGAATTTCGCTCCTGGCTTCGGAAATGGTCTCTTCGATCCATTATTGCCAATTTCTGATTCATCAGACAGCTATCTAGAGAATGATATGGATATAATTCCCATAAGAAGGCAACGAAACGAACCAATAAAAATGTCATCTAAAAACAACGCCGACTACGAAGAATGTATAGAAATCAGTGGTAGGATACTATGTGGGTATGGGAAGAACAAAGGACTGAATCCAGTTGACCAAGTAATCGATTTAGGCAATGGATGTCGAATTCGTGGTGATAGATTGGAATGTGGCTATGATAATAAAAGCAAACTATCAGGTGTAATTGAAAAATCTCCACAAAGACAAAGACCGACAAGAACTCCAATGTCTGGAATTTCAAATAAAGGCCTTAAAATCGACAGTGACATACTCGAGAATAAATTGCTTAAATCCACATTTGATATACTGTCAGTGAAATCCTTAGTTAGACAAAATGTGACTAAGCCCACTGTTTTAATTGAACCCACAGTAAGTACAAAAGAGACAACAATACAAATATCTTCAGCCACAGAAAAGGTAACTTCTTCACAATCCAAAAGGACGCAAAGTACTGAAACAGTTACTCAAATTATTGCCACAGTTATCAAAAATACTGACACAGTTACTCAAAATAATAAATCAGCTTCTCAAAGTAATCCATCAGTTTCCCAAAGTAATGCAACAGTTACTCAGAGCAATTCACCAGTTACTCAAAATAATAAATTCGTTTCTCAGAGTAATGCAACAGTTACTAAAAATAATAAATTCGTTGCTCAAAGTAATGCAACACATACTCAGAGTAACTCTACAGTTACTCAAAGTAACGCAACAGTTACTCAAAATAATAAATTAGTTTCTCAAAGTAATGCAACAGATACTCAAAGTAATGCAACAGTTACTCAAAGTAATGCAACAGTTACTCAAAGCAATGCAACAATTACTCATACTAATGCAACAGTTTCTCAAAGTAATACAAGAGTTACTCAAAGTATGAGATCAGTTCCTCAAATTAATACAACAGTCACTCAAAATACAACATCAGTTACTCCAAGCACCGAATTACTTACTAACACAACTCAACCGATTCCCATTAAAACCATAACTACAGAAACTTTAACACCTTATACCGAAAATACGTTAGCAAAACTTTTTGAAGATTTAGAACCAAATGAAATTCTATTTGGTACCAAAATATTTAAGAGAGCAATTCCAAAAACACCTGAAATATTACAAATTTTACGGAACAATATAACTGAATCAGAATCTTTACTTGCAACAAATGTTACATCTACGACAATAAAATATGAGAATTCCACTGAAAGTGTTAATTTACAGGCAACAAATAGTGAAGACATGACAACTGCGACAGCTTGTGTCCAGAATCAAGACACCGTGGTGTGTTATAATTTTAAACCATAAGTAGATACTGACATTATTACCATATTATACGATTATGGCTACAAGCTTAGCAAACACGCGTAGTATAGGAAAATAATACATACATACAACCTACCTCTTGACTCATTCTCTAGTTCTCTATTAAAAAAGCGCATCAAAATTCAAGCATACATAGGGACAGACACTTGAAAGCGACTTTGTTGTACCTCTATATACAAACAAATGAATGCTACCATTGGGCTCGCTGTCGCATTGCAGCAGTAAATCCTCTCTTTAAACAGTGGCTTGAGAGACGCTACGGCCGGCGTCTTCACCTACCACCTGACACAGGTGTTTACTGAATATGGGAGTTTTGTGAGGTACCTCTTTCTGATTGGGTGGGAGGAAACGCCCAAGTATCATCACTGCAAAGACCGCCCGGAGGACACAGTGGAGCATACAGTGGCGGTGTGCCCTGGATGGACT